GCGCTGCTTGTCTGAGGTGCGGGATGGAGGGCGCCCTGATGCACAGGCGCTGCGACCGTGCAAGCTGGCAGGGTGCGCTGACCATGCCCCCCGACCTGGCAGACCTCAGGAGGAGGTGGCAGGAGCCTGGTGTCCAGCTGCTGCTGGAGAGGTGCCTGTGGCCAGCGCCGAGGGGGCTCCGCAAGCCTCAGGCCAGCGACATGGTCTGCTGGAAGGGTTGCCACGAGGGAGGGGTTCGGCCAGCAGGCGAGCTCTTCTTGGACGGCTCGGTGTTTGAGGCGGACAACGGCGAGCTCACGTCGGCGGGCTGGAGCGTGGTCGCGCTGCTCGAGGACGGGGGCGACGACAGAGCGTCGATCGCTGGCCAGGTGGTTGGCCCGTGCGTCGACATCAACGGCAGCGAACTCACGGCGGTGGTCATGGCGCTGAGGTGCGGCAACGGCAACGCCGTGCTGGTCGTGGACTCGAAGTACGTGTACGACGGCTTCTATCAGGTGGGGCGCGAGCGCACGACGGCCAGCGGGTACTCCTGGGCGCACCTGTGGAGGCAAGCGTGGGCTCTGCTGGATGAGCACGGGGGCCTGGGGGGCGAGGTGCACCTGCGGTGGGTGCCCAGCCACTGCACGAGGAAGCAGGTGGAGGCTGGGGAGGTGTCGCACCGCGACTGGCACGGCAATCGGCTGGCTGACCGCGCGGCCAAGGCGGCTGCCGCAGCGGGGCGCCTGCCTGGTCGTGAGCGCCAGCAGCTCGCTCAGAGCCGAAGCCTCGTCGACAGAGTCGCCATGTGGTGCTCGGCGGTGGGCGCCTGGCTCGACGGCAGCGACGCCGCGCACGGCAAGGTGAAGCAGTAGCGAGCTCATCCTGAGCGGCGCGCGGCAGCCGCGCAGGTGGCCTGCACTTGGCGCGGGAAGCCTGGGCAGCCCAGGTGGTGCCAGGTCTGCAGGTGGGAGGAGAGGGCAGGTGAATGCCCAGGCTCCATCGTGGCGGACGCGGCCTGGTTGTCCTCCGACCTGTCGTGGACGAGCAGCTGGAGCGCAAGATGCCGCTGGTCGCTTGCCGCCTCTGCGGGCTCGCGGGCGCTGCCAGGGCCTGCGGCTTCAGCGGCGAGTGCAAGCTGCCGCCGTCCGCAGCTGGCAGTGCGGTGGTGGCCAGGCTGAAGCGGGGGCTCGCCCCCCGCACGGCGAGCGTGGTGCCGGTCGTCATCGCGCGCCTCGACGACCAGAGCGGGGAGCTGCTGGACGTGGAGGCGCCTAGTGGGCGTGAGGGCCAGCTGCTGGCGGGCAGCTCTGCGGCTGGAGGCGCGGACGAGCAGGAGACCACGCTCACGGGGCCGCCTGCTGGCGGTGAGGAGGCGGGTCGCCCCCGCGGCGATGCGAGCGCGTGTGCAGTCGCTCGCCGTCGCCGAGCCGCGTGGCCAAGGCGGCCAGACTGCAGGAGGAGAGCCAGCGGCCTGCTGGCGGCCCTGCTGCGGGAGGCGAAGTGGGGGCCGCGGGCGGCGGCGGCGGCGGGCCGCGCCCACGGCGCCGCGCGCGCGAGCGCAGCTGCTCGCCGAATTTGGCCGCCAAGGTGGCCAGGCTGCTGAGAGCCGCGCGCGGCGGGACCAGACGGCTGCCTCGGCGAGCGGAACCGCGGCCGAGGTGAGGGCGCGCGCGGTGCGCGCGCGGGGGCGGTCGTGGCACGACACGATCGCTCTACCCCGCGGGCCTCCTCCTCCTCCTCCTCCTCCTCCTCCTCCTCTTCCTCCTCCTCTTCCTCCTCCTCCTCCTCCTCCTCCTCTCTTAACGCACCCAGTACACGGGGGCCTACTGGACCGCGTGCCGGGAGCCTTTTTGGGAAGCATTGTGGCAGTCTCTGGAGCCTCTCCGGGACTTCCTTTGGAATCCTTTGGGGCCTGTGTGTGGGGAGCTCAGCCCGTCTTGGGGCCCTCCTGGGGTCCTCTCCGACCATGTAGGAATCCTCTGGTGACCCCCTCGGGCTTCCTGGGGGCTCTTTGGGCCGTCTTGTAGCTCTTCTGTGCCGCTCGAAGCTCTCTTCAGCCCATCTTGGAACCCGGTCGCCGAGAGAGGGCCTTACCAATGTACTGGGCGCCCCCCCCCTGGAGGCGCCAGCTCCGAACCGGACATCGAGCACGAATACCGCGTGGTACACCGGCAATCGGGCGGCCAGAAAGCGGCCACCACCGGTCATACATCTTCAGGCCCCTGTGTGAGCAACTGCCCGCCTTCCTCTGAGAGTGGGACGCCAAGAGGAACCTACCATTAGGTCGGGCATGTCCTCCTACAGGCGTGTTTTGGACGAAACATGAAAAAATACGCAACAAGTTCTCAAACATCTAACAATACTAACAGAATCGGCCCAAACAATCGTTTATCATTTTTAACATCCCCCCTGTAGTGGGACATGCCCGACTTCACCTTATCAAAGTACTGTGCGCCCCCACTGGAGGCGCGGGTCCGAACCGGACATCGAGCAAAAATATCGCGCAATGCATCGGCAATCAGGCGGTATAGTGAGGTCGGAAGTGTCCCCCCACAGGCAGATCTTGGACGAAAGATCAGCAAGAGCCAGCAAATACTCAAAGCGTGCTCCCACATACGAAAGATGAATCCCAAAACTAGTCTGTACTATTCTTGAGTATTCCTCCTGCAGAGGGACAGGCCCGTCTTCACGGTATATTGGGAGCGGCCAAGAGGGGGGTGTCCAAGAGGGGGGGGTGCAAATCATGACGGCGGCATGTGCGCGGCCCAGCGTGGGGGCCAGGGACGTAATAAAATAAGAACAGGCGCCATAACATCTGGGGAAATATCATGGCCCCCGCCATGATATCCACCCCCACTAGTCATCACCCCCCTCTGTGCCGCCCCCGAGTATAGCCGCAAAGCGGCCACCACCGCTCCTACACTACGCGGTCGCGACGACGACGACGACGACGACGGAAGTTCTCGGAGCGCGCGCGTCGCCCTGGGGGCCCAACGCACCCGTGGGAGCAGCATGCCTTGGGCGTTGCCGGGAGGAGGCCCGCCCCCTCCCCGCCTCGCCCAGCGTGCCGACGAGGAGGAAGCTCGCTGGAGGGGCAACGATGGAGGTGGGGGTAGAGAGCAGAAAATCCCCCCCAGAATAAGCACCCCGACAACCGAAGCCGTTTAGTAAACGCACCCATGGAAGGAATCGAACAGGGCAGGGCTGTTTAGTAAACGCGAATTGTCGGGGTCGGGGTGGTTTTTCCACCCTTGGGGGGGGCGGTCTGGCAGAGGGGGGGATGCATCGACCTGGAAGCGGCGATGCGTCGCCGACAGATCGGCGATAAAGCCCCCGATCGTGCAGCCGCGCCTTCCTGTGCAGTGCGGGGCTATCGGGCCCCTATCGGCGATCAATGGGCGAGTGGGGGTCGATGCATCCCCCCCTATGCCTGTCCCCCCCCCTATCGCTGCCCCTGATCCTTCCGAGTGTGCACGCTCGCTCCCGGCGCACGCCGCGGCGCCAACAGTCGTTATCTGTTCCATGTGAGCTCACGTGGCCCCCCGGCGCTGTCCGATCTTTGGGCCTGCTTTGGACCGAAGTTGGAGCACATTTGGGGCCAGAGGTGGATCAGAGTCGCCCATTCGCAAGGGAGACGAGAAGAACGAGGAGGGAGAGGAGCAGGAGGAAGGGCCACCTGCGGCCAAATCTGCGGCTCACATATAGGAAAAGCTGGTTCCAACGCCCAAGGGCTTTCATGAACCGGCGTCGGAGTCGTGCCATGGGAGGCCGCGGCTGCGCACAAGGGGCCCTCCAAGTCCTTGCTCGGGGCTCCCGCTGTGGAAGAAGAAAAGAACACGTGAACGTAAACTTTTGGCGCTCCGCGGGGATTTCTTGGATCCGCGTCGGACCCCCCTCCCTGGAGCGCGAAGCGCGCCAGGGGCTGGGCCAGAGGCGCCGCTGGGGGTGTCCAGCGCGGACCCAAAAAATCCGCGCGGAGCGCCAAAAGTTTATGTTTATGTGGTTTTTCCTTCGTCGAGATACGCCGGATCTGCAACCAAAGTACATCGGATCGGAGGACATCGGCAGCCGATTCGGGAAAGCCGACTCGGCGGAACTATCGGCAGGCTAGTGGGCCTCCATTGAGAAATCGGAGCACAGATCGGCAGATCGGGATCGAGTCGAAAGTCGAATCGAGTCGGAATGGGAAGCCATCGAAATCGAATCGAATCGAATTGGAGGAATCGCAATGAGCCCTGTGGGGCCTTCGGGAGAACTTCATCCCCTCCCTGGTCGTCTTGCGGCGGCTGGGGCTAGGCCAAACTACGGCCTCGCGGCGTCGCTTTTTCCGCCGGGCGGTCCTGCGACTGAGAGGCCGTGCCCGCGGACTCACTTTGGACTCGAAATGAGTCCAACCAGCTAACGAAGTGACCAACCAACCACTGCTTGTCGAAGTCCTCCTCGTCGTCGTCGTCGTTCGTCCTCCTGTTCCTCCTAGCAAGCTCTCCTCGCTGTCTCGGGCCCAGCTACGAGAATACAGCGACGAGCCGCCAACAACCGCTCGGCTTCTTCGAGGGTGAGCTCGATCGGCTCGATAGGGCGGGGAAGGGCCCTGGGAGGTCGAACATGGCGGAACACATAGGACGGCTGTTCTTCGTGCAGGCCCTGGAAATCGGCTCCTATACATCTCGGTGCGATTTCAGTTTTGACCAAACTTGCCAATGGAATCGAGTCGTTGCGACGATAAGCATTTCCTGAGGTCCAACAAGGGCAAACATAAGGTCCACAATAATCGATTCTGGACCCTCGTACCTCAGGAACCCTTTACCAAACATCCGATGCTTCTGATGTTTTGCTTTTTTCTCCGATACGGGACTTCTAGAATATCCGACACTTTCGCCACGACCAGCGTTTCGTCCTGAGTGTGTTTGACGGCTCCTGACCTGAAACACTCACACCAAAGACAGGAAACGGTGGCGAACAACTCCTGCCCGGATGTTTGCTCAAGACGTTGAATGTCCAGGCTTCTCCGTGGTGGGTACCCCGCCTCGCCCGGGGCGTCCACCGTCTGGCCCAGGGTGCCGTAGCCTCAGATGCCCCCCCGCCCGATCCCAAGCGGATCGGCGGCCGAGGCCTGACCGCGATCCGCTCCCCGAGCGCGAGCGGCGTGGAGAAAATCGGGCGGCACATCAAGCCGCATCGCCAATGGCATCGGCGCCGCTGGAAAAAGAAGGCAACTGAAGTAAATAAACCTCCCCCCCTGCCAGCCCCCAGGAGAGAGTGGGGGGGGGACAGGAGCGAGGGGGAGGGGAGAGGGGGGTGCTTGGCCCTCCCCCCCCCCTGCCAGCCCCCAGGAGAGAGGGGGGGGGGACAGGAGAGATGGGGGGGGGAGAGGAGGCTGGGGGGGGACAGGAGCGATGGAGGGGGGGAAACGGAGAAAGGGGGGGGGGGAAAGGAGAGAGAAAGGGGAGGGCAGGAGAGAGGGGGGAGGGGACAGGAGAGGGGGGGGGGACAGGAGAGAGGGGGGGAGAGGGGCAGGAGAGAGGGGGGGGGGCAGGAGAGAGGGAGGGGGGGGGGGAAAGGAGAGAGGGGAGGGAGGGGGGGGGGGGCAGGAGAAAGGGGGGGGGAAAGGAGAGAGGGGGGGGAACAGGAGAGGGGGGGGAGGGGGACAGGAGAGAGGGATGGAGGGGGACAGGAGAGAGGGGGGGAGGGATAGGGGGGTGAGGTGGACAGGAGAGAAGAGGAGGGGGGGGAGCAGGAGAGAGGGGGGGGGCAGGAGCGAGGGGGGAGGGGGACAGCAGAGAGGGGGGGGGGGACAGGAGAGAGGAGGGGGAGGCAAGAGAGGGGGGGTGGGAGGGGGGAGCTGGGATCATCACCATCTCCATCGTCACATCATCATCACCATCACCATCACCATCACCATCACCATCACCATCCGGAGCGCCCCGGATCGGCGACACTGGCCGGAGGCCACTACAATAAACGGCAATTGTCGGAGGTCCGCGCGGATGTCTTGGATCTGCGCTGGGGCCCCGTCCCTGGCGCGCTCCGCGGGGCGGCGCCATTGGCGCCAGGAGGGTCGAAGCGCAAAATCCAGAAGTCGGCGTGGACCTCCGCAAGCTGACGACTGTGCCGATTCTTCCTCGAGATGCGGCACGATCCTCCGAACCCACCTGCCAGGACCCCATCTGGGAGGCCTGGACTCGGCCATGGGCGCATTTGGGACTGCTCTTGGGTCGGTTATGACCTCCTACAAGCGGATTTGACAAAAAAATGCTAAAGAAAATAGCCAGACAAAAGACCCAATCATATGCAGTTGCGAAAGCCGCAATGTGGGTACCGGTTTCGGTGGAGCTCCCTCTGGGGCCAGGAAACGCTGTCCTGGGTGGCATTGGCGCATGCGGCCCGTGCAACTGGAGACTTCGGTGGAGCTCCCCCTGGGGCCACGGAACGCTGTCCTGGGTGGCGTTGACGCATGCGGCCTGTGCCACTGGAGCTTTCGGTGGAGCTCCCTATGGGGCCCCGAAACGCTGTCCTGGGTGGCGTTGACGCATGCGGCTTGTGTTACTGGAGCCTTCGGTGGAGCTCCCTATGCGGCCACGAAGCGCTGTCCCGGGTGGCGTTGGCGCATGCGGCCTGTGCCACTGGAGCCTTCGGTGGGGCTCCCTGTGGGGCCACGAAACGCTGTCCTGGGTGGCGTTGACGCATGCGGCCCGTGCAACTGGAGCCTTCGGTGGGGCTCTCTGTGGGGCCACGAAGAGCTGTCCTGGGTGGCGTTGACGCATGCGGCCTGTGCCACTCACTGGAGCCTTCGGTGGAGTTCCCTGTGGGGCCACGAAGCGCTGTCCTGGATGGCGCTGACGCATGCGGCCTGTGCCACTGGAGCCTTTAGTGGAGCTCGCTGTGGGGCCACGAAACGCTGTCCTGGATGGCGTTGACGCGTGCGGCCTGTGCCATTGGACCCTTTGTGGAGCTCCCTATGGGGCCACGAAACGCTGTCCTGGATGGCGCTGACGCATGCGACCTGTGCCACTGGAGCCTTCGGTGGGGCTCCCTCTGGGGCCACGAAGCGCTGTCCTGGGTGGCGCTGACGCATGCGGCCTGTGCCACTGGAACCTTCGGGCTCCCTATGAGGCCACGAAGCGCTGTCCTGGGTGGCGCTGACGCATGCGACCCGTGCAACTGGAGCCTTCGGTGGAGCTCCCAATGGGGACACGAAACGCTGTCCTGGGTGGCGCTGACGCATGCGGCCAGTGCCGCTGGTGGAGCTCCCTATGCGGCCACGAAGCGCTGTCCCGGGTGGCGTTGGCGCAAGCGGCCTGTGCCACTGGAACCTTCGGTGGAGCTCGCTGTGGGGCCACGAAACGCTGTCCTGGGTGGCGTTGACGCATGCGGCCTGTGCTACTGGAACTTTCGGTGGAGCTCCCTGTGGGGCCATGAAGAGCTGTCCTGGGTGAGTGAAACGCAGGGAGGTGACGAGGCGGATGCGAGGTTGGAGGAGGGGGAGGAGGAGGAGGAGGAGGAGGAGGAGGAGGAGGAGGAGGAGGAGGAGGAGATGAGAGGAGACGCGGGGCGCCGTCTCTTTAAAACGAGGATCCAACACCACAGGATGGTTGGGAAATCCGCCGGATCCAATGTGGGGCCACCAGGCTGTAGGCCGAAGGTTCGCAGTTTCCTGTGCCAGTTGCACCTTCCAGTTTCCACTGGTACAGTTCTGCTTCTTGCTGCTTACTGTTCCTTGTTGATGGACCGCGCGAGGGGAGGGCCCAAACGGGCAGGTTTAGCACGCCCTGAGCGTGTTGTCTGAATTGCTGGGGTGGGTAGAAATTTACAGCCCTCACGCAGATCGGCGGGGTCAGGGTCCAAAAACACATTGGAGTTGCCACATTTCTGAAATTCGGTGGCACCCCTCACGCAGATCGGCGGGGTCAGGGTCCAAAATCACATTGGATTTCCCACGTTTCTGAAATTCGGTGGCACCCCTCACGCAGATCGGCGGGGTCAGGGTGCAAAAACACATGGGATGTGCCATATTTCTGACATTCGGTGGCACCCCTCACGCAGATCGGCGGGGTCAGGGTGCAAAAACACATGGGATGTGCCATATTTCTGACATTCGGTGGCACCCCTCACACATATCGGCGGGGTCAGGGTGCAAAAACACAGGATTAGCGACATGTTTGAAATTGTTGACGCTTCGCGAATCCCCACCAGCCGCAACTGGTGGGGATTCGCTGGCAGATGTTCAGCGGTACTTTTCTCTGTTGCTGGCACACGCTCAGCTGCATCTTGGCCGGCACGGTGCTGCGCCGTTAATTATCTGCTTCCCGTGCGCTGTGTCCCAGCCTCATTCTTACCGCCATCTGGACTTTTCCTTGCGGGCCGCGAATCAAAAAAGAATCCCCACCAGCCCATTATAAAACAGCCGTTCTGTGAATAAGCATCGATGATTGGTATTCGTCGGTCACCTTGGGGGGAAGAGGGAGACAGGTGTTTGGGGAGAGTGGTTGAGGCGAACACGATGCCCTGTAGGATGGCCTCAGAAGGCGAACTGTTCCTCCGCGTTTTCCTCTCATCTTCTCCTCCTTCTCCCTTGTCAGCCTGCTCCTCCTCTTTCTGCTGTTCGTCATCGTCCTCATCCTCCTGATCATCCTCGTTCTTCTTTGGCTCCTCCTCTTCCTTATTCTCGGCATTTCTCTGTCCTCATGTTCTTCCTTTACCTCCTGACTCTTCTAATCGTCTGTCTCTTCTCTTCCTCCTCCTTATTCTTTCCTTGTCGTCGTGTTCACTGATTGTGAGTCTCTTGGTGCGTGAGGAGGATCATCAGGCATACACGAGGGCTGCGTACGCTTGTGAACGATCGGGGTGCGTGCGTGCCATCTGTGTTGCCTATGATCGTTCGGAAATCTCTGCTGCATTACATTATGTTGCGATGTGTGTTGCAAGCTCTTACGCAACTCTTCCACAACGCGAGCATCCTTGGGTCTCGCCGGTTGCATCCTTGCCAAATCTCTATGGTCGGGGTCGTGACTTGAAATATCAAATTGCGCTGCCGCACATATCCGCCAGCGCGCTAGAGGAAGCGGCGAAGTGAGGCAGGTGCGTGGCAGGGCGTAGTGGAACCCTGGGCGGTTAGTTTGTACGAAATGAACACATATCGAACTTGAGGCGACAAATGAATGGTTGTGTATTTTTTCCTGACCTTCTTGATGTTGTTGTGTGTGTGTGTGTGTGTGTGTGTGTGTGTGTGTGTGTGTGTGTGTGTGCTTTGAGGCCTTCATGGGGCGATCTTGTAGCTTTCGGCGTGTCTGGCCAATTTGGCTGGGTGGTATGTCAGAGGCGTCATGGATGTTGGTTGGATGCTCGTGGTTGGCCGCTTTGGGGCCTGAGGGAGGCAGATGCGATGCCTTGTGACGCCTCTTGGAAGCGGTTGGAATCTCCTTGGGGGCACTTGAAGTCGTCTTGGGGAATTCGTTGGGGGTCTCCTACGTTTTAGCAGCGACAGCTTCGGACACCGACGTAAGCAGAGAAGAGAGATAAGGAGGAGGCGAAACACAGGATCAGCAATTTGTCATGAGGGGGAGGAGGAGGAGGATGTCGGGGAAGAACAGAGGAAAAACAAGAGGATGATGAGGAGGCGGCGGAGGAGGAGGAGCAGGAGCAGGAGGCTGATAAAGAGGAAGGGAAGGAAGAGTATTAGAATAGGCGGACAAGGATGGTGATGAGGAGGAACAGGAGGGAGGGAGGAGGCGAATAACAGGATATGCAAATGGGCCAGAGGGGGATGATGATGATGATGTTGGGGAAGGAGAACAGAAAACAAGGAGGATGAGGAGGCGGCGGAGGAGGAGGAGGAGAAGGAGCAGGAGCAGGAGTAGGAGCAGGAGGCTGATAAGGAGGAGGGGAAGGAGGAGTATTATAGTAGGCGGACAAGGATGAAGATGAGAAGGAGGAGAAGGAAGAGAAGGAGGAGGAGGAGCAAGAAACATGACGAACATAAGAGTCTCCTAGGATGTCTCTTCGGAGTTGTCGTGGAAACTTCTTGAAACGTCTGGGAGCTTCTCAGGAACCTCAGAGAGACTATTGAGGCGTCTTGGGGGCCTCTTGGGAAGCTATTCGGGCCTCTTGGGCGCCTCCTGGGCCCGTCTGGGCTCCTGTGGGGGCCTTGTCGGGGGGGTCTTGGAAGCTTTAGGGGCTCTCTTGGGGCCATCTTGGATGATATCGGTCAACGAAGGGGGGTTCCTTAATTACGGCCCCCCTCAGGAGCACCAAAAATCGCCTCCTGGATCCATCTTGGAGCGTTCTTCGAGCGCTCTTGGGGCCGTCTGCTATGTCGAGGCATCTTGCGCTATCTTGAGCCATCTTGGAGGCTATGTTGGGCTCGCTGTGGCCCTCTTGGAGCCAACTTGGGCGAAAAGGTACGCGCTGGCAGATCGGCGTGGTCAGGGTCCGAAAACCCACGAGATTTTCAACATTTCTGAAATTCGATGGCACCCCTCATGCGGATCGACAGTGTCATGGGTCCAAAAACAAAAGAGATTTGCCACATGTCTGAAATTCGACGGCACCCCTCACGCAGATCCGTAGGGCCAGGGTCCAAAAACACAGGGGATTTGCCACATTTCTGAAATTCGGTGGCACCCCTCACGCAGATCCGTAGGGTCAGGGTCGAAAAAAAAAATTTCCCGACACTGCTTCACGGCGGCGCCCAGACCTCATGATTTAGCTATTGCATCTCCCATTCTCCGAGACAGGGGGCCGGCGGCATGGGGCGAAGCCCTTACGGATAGTCAAACATCATTTCAACAACAGCAAAAAAACATACGTAGTAGAACCATCGTCCCCAGACGATTCTTTGACTCTCTTTGAAAATGCCTCTTGTAGAGGGACAGGCCCGACTTCAAACTGCTCGTGACCTCCACTCGGCCGATCCGTCCACGAGCCGGCCGATCCTCGGGCTCCACCCTCGGGCCGCGGCCCTTGACGTCCTCGTCCTTGAAGGGCTGGACCTGGAGAGGCCAAAAGGTACCGATACCGTCAAGTCGGGCCTGTCCCTCTACAGGGGGAATAGCCAACAACAATCAACAAAAATAGTGTGGGGACGATTTCCCTACTATTTTTTTGATTTTGTTGTTTGGTTGTGTTTCGCAATGTTCCATTTGTCGTCTGAAATCCGCCTGTAGGGGGACAGGCCCGACCTGACGACACCGCCACAGCCCGGACCTCTCTGGGAGTGACCCCTGACCGGAAGCTCGAGGAGACACCGGCCGTGGCCACGAGGTTCCCCCCAGCAGAGGAAGAAACGGCGCGATGGCCAAACACCGTCGGAGCGGAGCGCGCCACGGGGCGGCATCGAAGGCGCCGCCAGGGGGCCCGGTGCCGATCCAGCACATCTGCGCGGCGCAACGAAAGTTCTCCGAATAGGCTTGCCCTATAGGAGTCTCAACTCAAACCCTACTGACTGGTCCGTTGCCCCCCCCCAATTCCTGTGCCCCCCCCAATTCCTATGGCTATGCCTATGCCTATGCCTCGCCCTAACTCCTATGCCTACGCCTATGCCATGCCTGCTTGCTTGCTGGCTGGCTGGCTTGCTTGCTTGCGCGCTTGCATGCTTGCTGAGTTGCGGTTTCCAAGCATGCTTGATCCCTTTGATTCCTTGATTGGAGTCATCTCATCTATTTGGAGTCAACGCTGGCTGATATTCATGTGTTTGCAAATGCTTCTCCTTCGATTGCCAGAACGGGCAGCGGTATCAGTATATGACGACGCCAGGACGAACATAAAATCGAGAACGGATGACATCGAGCATCTCTGAAATCCCGCGGCTCTGGAAGACGTCTAGGACGACGCGGCCTTCTCTCAGAGCCTTCCGGAGCGCTCTGAGAGCGCTCCGGGACGCTCTGGAACGGATTCATCTTCGCCTCAGCCCCGCCCAACAATATCGTGTCCCCCCTCGTTAGACGATGAAGAAGAAGAAGAAGAAGAAGAAGAAGAAGAAACGCCATACACATAAACTGTTGGCGCTCCGCGCGGATTTCTTGGATCTGCGCCGGAGGCGCCGCCAGGTGGGCCCAGCGCGGGTCCAAGAGATCCGCGCGGTTCGCCAAAAGATCCTGTTGATGCCGCGATGTTGTGTAAGATTGTCCCTCCTTCTGAAGACCATCAGCCACTGTGTGAACCCAGGCACGGCGATCAGCCACGGCAGCGCGATCACCAGCAGCTCTGGCGCGCCGAAGCCCTCATACGTGAGCTCGATGGCGTGCGCGGGGAGGGGCACCGCGGCCCCCACAGCGCCGACGAGCGCGGCGGTGCCCACGGCGGCGCTCGGGGCCTCCTGGGAAGGACAGGCCACAAGAACGGCATGCGGTCGAGACGCCCTGAGGCAAGACGAGGGCAGGACGATGATAGTCGGCGGTGGACGGACCTCCCTTTAATCAACCTCCCTTTAGTGCAAACGGCCTAGGACCGCAACCGACGGACCTGGACCCGCAACAATGACGGCCGCGACGCCCTCGCGCGAACCGAAAATGGCCAATTCGCTATTCGACGTGTCAGGGTAGGAGGTCTATTAACCTCCGAGATTGACTATATCATGCCCGAACCGGAAACCCTCGGCCGAACCAGAAACACTCGGCCGAACCGAACCAGCCGAACCGGGCCGAACCGGCCGAACCGGGCATCCGAAACGGACCAGTCGAACCGTACCGGCCGTTTTGACTCGAACCGGACTGGCAGGGCCGAACCGGACAGCGACGTGAACCGGACTGGGCGATCCGACCCGAAGGCGCGCCAGACCGGACCGAACCAGGGCCATCATGATATAGGGAAAAGGACACGCACCACCACCACCACCACCACCACCACCACCACCACCTGGAGGGCGGAGGCAGTGGGTGGTCAGGGGTGGTGGTGGTGTACACCGTTTCGGGCGCTCCCGCGGGACATCCTGCACACCTGCATCCCGCAGATCAGCGCATCCTGAGTCCCCCCAGGTGGTGCTTGTGGTGCAATTCCCGCTCCCAGTGGGAGGAGATAACTCTAGCAGACCGCAGACCAGCGTTCGAAAAGATCTGAGCGGGCTCCGGGAACGCGCTGGACGGGCGTTCCCTGAGCGCGCTCAGGGTTCCCGGCGGAGGAGGAGAAGGAGGAGGGGGAGGAGGAGGAGGAGGAGGAGGAGGAGGAGGAGGAGAAGGAGGAAGAGGAAGAGGATTTTTTGTTGATGATGATGAGGGGAATGATGATGAGGAGGAAGAGGATGATGATGATGATGATGATGATGATGATGATGATGATGATGATGATGATGCTGATGCTGATGCTGATGATGATGATGATGATGATGATGATGAGGATGAGGATGGGGAGGAGGAGGAGGAAGCAAGTCATGATTGATTGCGAGCAAGCAAGTCACCTTAGGCAACCAACTTCTTCGTGCTGCTCTCTCTCTACTATATGTGTGTTGGAAATATCATGTTCCTGCTCTCCTGTCCCATCCAGCACATGCGGAATATATACCAGGTAGCCCAAGTATATGGCTCCTCCAGAGGTCAAGGACTTGAACCCCTTGGAAGGGGTACGGATTCACACCATCCACCAGTGTCGCTTTGGAGCCTCCCGAAAGAGACCCACCACCTTGCTTGCTGTCCATCTACCCACGTTGGCCACCTGGCTCAGCGACCTCGGGGAGGGGGGAACACTTTGTAACCATCGCCCACATCCCCCTGTCCCCTTAGAGCGACACGGTGGATGGCCAGATACATCACCAGCACAGGTCTATCCCAGAGCCCTGAACAAAAAGCTTGCCGCCACGCTGTTCCAGCAAATTCGCGTTAGATTTCCCGAACTTTGTGCTTTCTTAGAGGGCGGTGTTCCACTTGGCTCATCCATGGGCACATTCCATGACACCAGGCCGCTACAGTGGACGATGCGAGAGGAGAGTACGCTTCGACACTGTATCGACCTACGGACTGACGATGATGGTTGGGATCTCCCCCTGGGCGTTAGGAAGTTTCATGTGCCTCTGGATCCATATCTGGCATCTCTACACGACGGAGATTTGTGTCTTCGTTCGGGCAGGCCACACATCGACGGCCACCCAGCGGTACGAATACCAGTGGAGGACCCTTTTCAGACAAACCCCCCTTCCTCACTGACTGTTGCTCAAGTGCGGGAAGGGCCTTCGCATGAAGGCGATGCCCTGACCTAGCTGGTCAGCGCCAGTGTCCATTCACTTTTAAAAAATAGTAATGCGAAGGTGTCACACTAAGCAGTGTGGCGCGCCATTGGCAGTACCGCGCAACCTGGGCGAAGGTCTCTGCTTTGCCTTCTCTCTGCACTTCCCTTGTCATTGCATGTGCGCCCTAGGCAGT